GAAGGGGCAGATTTACAATAACAGGCTAGATTTGAAATCATGCTGGAATATAACACAGGGTCTTCCCACCCCACTGTTCCTTCCTCTAGGTCTCCTGCACACCTGCCAAAATAACCTCCCACCAGACGGTCACCAACCTCTCTTACCTGCCAAATTCAAAGAGGAGACTTGTCAGTGACTGAGAGTCCTGGACCCTGGAATCAAGCCCTACCTACCTCTCTCAGTCGCGGCCTGATGGGTGTCCCAGGACCAACCCAGGAGTATGGCTGTGGGAGCACTTGGGATCAGCTCTGAAGAACCCCCACCGACTCCAGCATCTCTGGAGCTCATCCACAGAGGGTCACAGGCTTAGGATAAATGCCAGACTGCAGGTACTTTGTTGTTCTTGGTCCTGGACCCCAGGGCACAGGCCTGACGCCGAAGGTTAGGTGGCTTTCAGAATTGTGTTAGGGGGCAGGCGGCAGGTTCTCCTGAATCTTTGGTCAATATAGTAGAACTAGCAGACAAGAGGTGCAGGAGGAGCCCACACTAGAGGCTTCTTCTCTTCTAGAGCACAGGGACGGTAGGAGGCCACGCCATTCATAATGATTTCAGGTAAGGATGATGCTGATGAGTAGATCTTGGGCAACATCATTGGGTGTACTCCCGCCCAAGAGAGACGGCTGGAACAAGAGGGAGTGAGCCCTATATCACTAAACAACTGAGGGCCTCTAGAAAGAGCAAGGTACTTAATCTTCCATATATCCTGTGATGCTCTCAAGAAGAATTTTAGAAGTATCCACTCTTTAGCCTCACTTACCAGTAGCTCTTTATGTGCATTTGTACACGGTAAAATGAGACTGAACCATTTATAGACAGGTAAAATATTAAGTGCACTATGGAAATACATAATATATACTGTTTTATGAAAAAAAAGCAAGTTTTTCCTATAAAAGAGGGAAAAAATGTGTATTTGTACAGAAACAAACACTGTATAGGAGATGGTCCAGATGTTAATTGGTTTATCTCTGTAGGATGATGGGCTGATTTTATTTTCTTATTTTTATAGAGTTTGTTTCTGAGTCTTCTAATAGAGCCTGGGTATTCCTTTGGAGTTAAGAAAATAGTAAAACCAGAGTTGCTGTTATTAAAAACAACAAGTGTGGAACCCACATGTATCGTAGGGCAGGGACTATATGAGTGGTTTTCAGTTTATTTCTACAGTGTGTCATCTTTCCAGGAAGCCATCCGACAGATACAGGTGGTCCTCAGAGGGCTGTTAGCAGTTTCCTGCTTGACTCAAGATCCTTCTCACCTCCTTGGATTCTGAACTTCAGACCGCTGCTGCTACTAGAATCCTCCTGGGTTCTCAGAGTGGTCTCCCTGGAGCTGAGGGTCTGAGGAAGGGGAGGAACTTACTGCCTCATGAAAAGTGGGGTCCTCTGGAAGGCCCAGAAGCTCGGTCGTGGTTTCCTAATGATGTAGGAGAGATCTGTTTATTTTATCCTTCACGGCTTCTATTGAGAAGAATTAGAATTCATCACTCCTGGAACCCAGGACAGAGGCGAAGAGGAAGTGCACAGAGGGAAGGTGGGTGCCGTGTGGCTGCCATCCCAGGAAGCATCACTGTTGGTGAGACTACAACTTTGTGAAGTCTCCTGCTGTCAGTCTGGCCTTTTCCTCTGTGGAATCACTACAAGGGGTGGCTAACATGTGGACACACCCAATGGGGCAGACGGGCCACTCCTCCCTGAAAGCCTCTAGCGGGGCAAAGAAAGGAAAAACGACACCCATGAAGTAGAGCTCACAGTTCATGCAGAACAGAGGGTCCATAAGACAAATGATTCTGGCCACCTCTTTATTCTCTGTGTCTGCCATCACTGATCATGAGGTCTATAGGGGCAGAAACAAAGTCAGTTCTAGAGGCTGTGTTGTGTAAAGCAGCTACTGGGAAGAGCCCAGATTATATAAGATTGTCTTGCCGGGACAGGTGATTAGGTTCCTAGAGTATGATGGAAAGTGTGTGGACTAAACTGCGCTGTGCCTCCTAGCTATGTGACCTTGGATCAGCAAACCACAGTTTCATCTGTGAAATGAGGTGATGAAATATCTTTCACCTACCTGCCACTTTCATTGCAGTGACCTGACGTGCATGAGCAGATGTGGTGGTCCTTACAAAACAAGAATTTACCAGTGAATATAAGGTGTATTCATAGATCTGTAGTAGCCTGCCATTCCCTGAGCTTATTAGAACTGCAATCCCCAGGCTTCTCCTTAGGCTGGTGAATCGAATCTGCATGTTAATAGATTCCCAGGCAGCATTCAAAGACATTTAAGTTTGAGAAGCTACCTCTGTCCTAAGACTGTAAATTGCCGACACTGCTCAGCAGTCATTTCCAGCACTGGGAGATTTGCCGCCAAAGAAGGAGCTGAATTTGAGATCTGTTAAAGTCCTCACAGTTTGGTCCTCCTTTGGGAAGACAGCCATGCCCAGGCAGACTGTAGAATTGTGATGACAGAGAGATTTGCAAATTGGAAAGTACTTTTGAGTGTTATTCCAAAAAGCCCAAAAAGTTTGCTTGCTCTGCAACACAGGGCTTATCTTGCCAGCTCTGGAGTAATGTAATACAAGGGAAGGCAACTGAGCACCATCCCAGGATGGGGCTTAGGGCCTCGAAGGAGGAATGAAGGCCAGATTGGCACTGGGGAAGCACATTCAGTGGCTGCCCTTTATCTTAAAGCACACAGGGTAGAAGAGTTCACTTTGGCTCACAGTTCATTCACGGCTTCTCGCTTTTAGCCATTTCCTGAATTCTGAGGGCCTCCAGTTCTCAGCTTATCTCTCTATGCCAGTGTTGTGTTAACTCAGGCTAGAAAACCATCTCACAACCTCAGTGAGCCCTAAATCACACACTCTGTTTAGATGAGGGTCCCGGCCTGAACAGGTGAAGTGACTTTTCCGCTATCGCACAGCCAGTAAACGGCAAAGCACAAGTGCCCTGTCTTCCAGTCCAGTGTTCCTTCCCACCACACCACACTGCCAGAGGTGTGTTGTGTTTGTTTAGTGAAATAAATTTTCTTGTTGCTCTAGGTCTTTCCTGGGATATGGGACAAATATAATAAGAAAACAATCCTTTCCCAATCTTTCTTGCCCCAAAAATGTGGAAGATGAACTGTTCATGACATTTCTGACTGTATTATTTTTTTATTTTTATTTGTTTTTTCTTTTAATCCTGTATGATGCTGCAGAAAAAATTGGAATAGCATGTGGCTAATGGAGGAGAAGCTATAATGTGATAGAGACATTGCACCTATATTTGGACAGCAATTGAAAATGATTAGCATTTACATTGTCGAAGAGATTTCAGTTTGTTTCAATTGATAAACAGCCGAACGGCGCCACAATCCCAGAAGGCCTCTCTCTACAAGATTCCAAATATGTGGGAATCGGATATGCCAAGCTGTTTGACCCTGGTGCTGGATTCTACTCAAATCCTGCAAGTGCAATGTCAACCAGAGATGGAATCAGGTGAAGTCATTGTCTGAGGCTCCAGCCATGTGTAAATGTGATCACCAGCCACCTCCAGCCTGAAAAGGAAAGGGAAGAGTTAATGCTCTGTGCACTGGGTGGCAAAATGTACCCATCCAGACGACACTCTGGAAGGAGGTTTGACACCATCTGAGGCGCTGGGGGCAGAACTACCACTGAACATGAACCGTGTTACTTATCCTGCCACTTGGTCAAGACCCTTCTGGAAGCTCTGAGCAAGACTTTGAATGACCACATGTTTCAGCTCTGTTCCTTCCTCTAAAGCCGTCTCTTAGCAGTGAACATATGTCCATGAGGAAATTTGGGAACTTCAAGGGAATGCATGACATAGTTAGCTTATTTTTCTCATAGACATCACGACAGAAGCAGCTGAAATGCAGTTAAAGAACTGAGGGTGTGCAGGAGCTTGATGCCAGCCCACAGGGAGAGGCAATTACCTTCCGTCATGCCTTTGTACTTAAGCCGATCCCACTGAGAACCAGTCAAGCTTCCATGTTTGTGGGTATGTGTTCACCATTTGCATTCAAAATCCCACAGCAGGGTTCAACATCACAGGGCAGTGTGGGTACAATCTGGGGAACCACAAAAGATCCATGCATTCAGCTTGGGAAGGCCTGCAGTCACTCTGACTGGAGCTGCTGCCACACGCCAGACAAGTGGCACAGCCGTGGCAGCCCACAAGCCTGGGCTTTGCTGAGCACTGCTGCAGGAAGTTGTATCAAGCTTCTGACTCAAAAACATTCTCATTAAATGTATTTTTTCTAACTAACTCCAAGACGTAAACACTGCTTCCCATTCCACATATGCCAATCCATTCATTTGCCCACCCCAATTTTCATTTCAAACTTAACTGTATCTCCTAGTCTGATACATGTAGCTAGCATTATTATCATATTATCATTAAGTGCATTCATATTAACAGGTACATGAATCACCCCAAGGCAGTAATGGCTTATAGGTTTTTGTTGTGTCTAGGTTGGTCATCCCAGCCCTGCTTTCTCTAGTCAGCATCTCTGCCATATGCTGAAGCTCTGGTTGAGGATTACAAAGGCCTGGAACACTTCAGGCTGAGTCACATTTGTGCAGTTGAGTGAGGTGGAGGAAGGCATGCCTGTCTGACTCTTCTGACCAGACGAGCTCATGCCTCCTGACCTCTCTTTCTGAATTTAGTCCCTTGAGGTGGCCTGTCCTGCAACATTGCCTCCTGGAAGGGCGGGTCTGCATTCAGCTGGCCGCACTGTGGAGTGCCTCCACGCAGCCCAAATCTACCACAGCCGATGTGGGATGGGTGCTGCAGGAGTGGGTGGGGAGTGCGTTACCCAAGTCGCCGGGAGGCAGGAACCATGGGCAGGGCTGGCAGGGGTGCTGCGGTTGGTTTGAAGAAGCCTGGGTTGCAGGGTGGGCAGCTGGGAGTCTCACACCAGAGTGCAGGCAGCTTCACCGCCCCCAAGGTCCTCACAGATTTGGCCATCTATTTGTACATGAGCTGTGGTGGCTCTGCAGAATGGATTGCTAAGAACCACCAGCCTGTGTGAGATTTAGACGCTTTGGGACTCTGCCTTGAGGATGGGGTTGGGGGCAGATCCTGATTCTGACCACATAAGAGCCCTCTATGTGGGGAACTTGTGTTAGCCTACAGATGTAAATCCAAGACTGTGAGCAGTACTAGATTCCTGGTTGTGTCGGTAGTCAATATCTGCCAAACAATGTTGCCTGTGGTGACAAGGAATAGCTCTAATAGACTTTATGACAGAGAATATGGGACCAGTTTGTCTTGAGAAAGCTCCAGATTCACTGTAGAATCTTATTGACACATGTCAAAGTGTGTAGAAAAGCAGCTGTGAAATCCGAATATAGAAAGTGAGGTGTAGGGTGTGGTCGATGTTTCCCCCGGGACTGAGGAGGTGGCAGAGATGTCCCAACTTATTTTTTGAGGGGTGCATTCTTTGTTGTTTAGTTTATTGAGTAACGCTATACAGAAAGCCTAAAGCATCTATGTGCCAGATCTGGTGTCTCAGAGATGAATGAAACGTGACCCCTGCATTGGGTGCAGAAGTGGAGATGACCCGCAGGAGACTCTGGCTGAGGCAGGGGTGAAGGTGGGCAGCTCCATTCTTCCCACATGGCCCTTAGATCGAGTCACACAGAAAAAAGTGCCCTTATGGGTTGCACTGAGGGGTTGGTGAACATGATCTGTGCAGATACCATACATGTGAAAAAGAAGGATGAATAAGGCCTCTGTCCATATTTTTCAAGATAAGAAACAAGTCCTGAAGGAGGGACACAGACTGCCTTAATGATGGGGAGCCCTAGGCTCCTCCTTCCCCTGCTCAGCTCAGCCTGCTGCCTGTAAAGGGCTGCGGCAGCCAGAGCCCCAGGCTTGAACCTCACCTGACTCCTGTGAGTCTCAGGGAGAGGAGGGTCCCAGGAGCTGGCAAACTGACTCGGGCCAGCTCTTGGAGCAGCACATTCAGTGGCCCCAACGAATGGGCCATCTTGGTCCCTGAGAAACAACTGACGCACAGCCAAGGTCAGAAACATAATCACAGGAGCCAGCTCAAGGTGTTTCCCTTGATTTTAGAAGACTGTTCAGAAGACAAACTGAATCACCAGACTGAGCAGAGCCAGTGCGGGAATGAGAAACAAAGCAGAAGTCTGCAAGGAATGGCTGGGGAATGCATATTCATGCGCACTCCCGAAAGCACACGCTTCAGTGCTCCTCCTCTGAGCTGGGCCTTGGCTGTGCTGCAAGGCGGGAACGCAGGCTTTGGTCTGAGCCAGCATCTAAAGGCCCTGGCAGGGGTCAGACCAAGGCAGACACCCGGGCTTGCAGGCAGCAAGCACACTACTGACCCAGAGGGCCTTGGTGTGAGCCCAGGGAGGGAAGAGAATGGGGCAGAAGGGAGGAAAGACAGCCACATTCAGTCACATGTTATGAACAGGAGGGAGAAGAGCAGCAGGATTAATTGTCCGCCTTTTATTAGTGAGTCGGCTGAGACCAAGAAAATGAAAATAATGTTTACAAGGTCATACAGAATTCCAGACACCACAGAACTGAGTCTAAGGTGCAACTGACAAGACATAGCCATTCTCTCTTGGCTGCTGGGGAAGGGGATGATGCCCCAAATATGTGGGGGAGGTGGTGGTGGTAAGAGATGACTATGCAAAATATTCATTGTTAAGGACCAGACTTTAACCCATGCTTAGTTAGGAAAGGGAGAATTCAGCCAGCCGCCCAGTCAGCAAATGTTTATGCATCCTAAGAGCCAAGCATCATGCTTAGTGCTGAGTACAGAATTCCCAACTCCTAGTTCTATCCCCTTGAGAATCTCTGGCTTACAGACAGCTCAGCCAGATCCTTCTCCGTGCACCCTCAAGCCCTTCCCTGCTCACTTACACTGTTCCTCCACCCACCAGGCCCAGCCGCCGCCTCCTCTCCTGCTGTGTCTGCTGCCTGGAAAGCTCCATGGCTCCTCCCTCATCTCCTTCAGGTCTCTGCTCAAATGTCAGCTCCTCAGAGAGGACATCCCTACTCTTCTAAAATAGCGGCACCACCCTTCGTCATTCTCTCTCTTCTAATCCTGGTTTATTTTTTTCCTTCCTACCACTTACTACCATTTGCTATATTATACAGCCGTATGTTGTCTATTATCTCCCTCTCCACTCCCTCCCCAACAAGACTTAAGCTCTGTAAAGGCTAGATGCTCCCTCAGTTTTGTTAAGTGATGCATACCTAGCACCTAGCACCTCGCGCTGTGCCTGGCACAGAGTTGCTCCTGGATAAATATTTGTTGACTGATGAACAAATGACCACCTCTGAGAGACTTTCTCTGTGGCCCCCACCCCACGTCCTGGTCGCTCCTCCTCTGGGCTCCCCCACTTCCCTGCACATCCCTCTGGTTGCCTTGACTGGACCCGTTTTTCTCCTCTCTGCAGCCTCCCATACAGGACGGTGAGCTCCCTGGGGGCAGGAGCTTGTTTCAGTCATTTCTGACTCCCCGGCCTATAGTGCCAGGCCTGACACATCAGTCAGCCTTAAAAAGTGCTTGCTGACTCAGTGACAGTGTAGACTAGGAGGAGGGAAAGTTCTTTTCTGAAGCAGAAAGCCTGGAGGAAAGAGAAGCAGCAGAAACAGAACAAGTCAGACCATAGGCAGGAATCCATTCCCTGTGCCAGCCCACAAAAGCAGCGCCAAGGGGGCAAGCCTGAAGAGCCCCAGGAGGACATTGTGCACGGACAGGCAGGTTCTGCCCGGAGTGGCTCGGCAAATAGAAGAAACCAAGCAAGAGAGAGTGAAGTGGGTTTTTGAAACAGAACATACGTGCATAAACTGTGAAACAGATGCTGCAAAAACAGTTTCTGACCGGAAAATGAATGAAGAGGTCTCGTTTTGCCCCCCACCCCACCTAGCCCTAGGATCACCCTGGAGGCCTGTGGGGTTTTAACTGGCGCCAATGTCATTGACCACTGAAGCTCCAAATGGTGGCAAAGCTCAGGGAGTGGGAGACAGTCCATCTGGGGCTAAGGGGCTCCAAGACTGTGCTACCCACCTCTCCGTTGGCATCACAGGCCGTGTGTGTGTAGAAATAATCTTTGTCTGTGCAAGCTGGGCGCACGTTACAGGAAGAGGATCCTTTCTCTAAATTGCCAAAGCAAGAAGAAATATTTGGAGTTACATAAGAAAGTTGAGCTCCTGGCCTCTTCATGGCCCTGTAACTCCCAAGCCCCTGGGTGCATTGCCATACAGATATTGCCAGAAGTAGAAAATCCTGCACACTCACCCTTCCCCTTGCCTCAATAGTGTCATTTCCAGTTCCCCAACCCCGCTCAGGCTTCCCTTTGCACCTCTTCCAGGTGCTGATGAGAAACCACTGTTTGCCACTCCCTCTCTCCTGCCCCATGGGGCAGGGGATGGAGAAGTGGCCTGGTCAAAGGACCAGCAAGGAGAGTAGATGGAGACAGCCACTTTCAGGTTAACCATTGCCAACCCAAGTTCCCTGAAACCTGGGCAGGTTCAGAAAGTTCACCATCTTTCAGGTGCCTTAGTGTCGACTGTGGGTGTGGTTTTTCTTTTTTTTTTTGAGACGGAGTCTCGCTCTGTCGCCCAGGCTGGAGTGCAGTGGCCGGATCTCGGCTCACTACAAGCTCTGCCTCCCGGATTTACACCATTCTCCTGCCTCAGCCTCCCGAGTAGCTGGGACTACAGGCGCCCGCCACCTCACCCGGCTAGTTTTTTTGTATTTTTTAGTAGAGACGGGGTTTCACCGTGTTAGCCAGGATGGTGTCGATCTCCTGACCTCGTGATCCGCCCGCCTGGGCTTCCCAAAGTGCTGGGATTACAGGCTTGAGCCACCGCGCCCGGCTGGGTGTGGTTTTTCTACTCCTGAAGTGTTGAAGTAAAACATGACTTTGCTTTCATACTCATTCCAAGTCTTTCTATGAATGTTCTAATATATGCCTAGAATGAAGGCCTTCCACCTTGGACATTTCCTTTTCTTCAGGCAACCATTCTACACAAATCAGGTTTGTAATTTCCTTGGACTCCACCTAACACACAAGGTTCTTTCCACTTGCCTCAACCCAAGCATCCCAACACTATTATTATTATTACTGAGATGGAGTTTCACTCTTGTCATCCAGGCTGGAGTGCAATGGTGCAATCTTGGCTTACAACAACCTCCGTCTCCCAGGTTCAAGCAATTCTCCTGCCTCAGCCTCTCAAGTAGCTGGAATTACAGGCATGAGCCACCATGCCAGGCTAATTTTGTATTTTTGGTAGAGAGGGGGTTTCTCCATGTTGGTCAGGCTGGTCTCGAACTCCTGACCTCAGGTGATGTGCCCTCCTCGACCTCCCAAAGTGCTGAGATTACAGGTGTGAGCCACCGTACCTGGACTCTTTATTATTATTTTATTGCTGCTATTTTTTAGAGACAGAGTCTTGTTCTGTTGCTGAGGCTGAACTGCAGTGGTGCAATCTTAGCTCACTGCAGCCTGAAACTCCTGGGCTCAGGTGATTCTCCAGCCTCCCGCACCGGCCCAGCACTATCTTTAACTCTTGATTTATACCTAACGAAAAATGTTAACTGCTGGGCATGGTGGCTCATGCCTGTAATCCCAGCACTTTAGGATCTCTTGAGCCCAGGAATTCAAGACCAGCCTGGGCAACATGGCAAACGCTGCCTCTACAAAAAATACAAAAATTAGCCAGGCATGGTGCTGCAGGCCTGTAGTCCCAGCTCCTTGATGCTGAGGCAGGAGAATCGCTTGAGCCTAGGAGGTTGAGGCTGCAGTGAGCCATGATCATGCCATTGCATTCCAGCCTGGGCAATAGAGAGAGACTCGGAAGGAAGGAAGGAAGGAAGGAAGGAAGGAAGGAAGGAAGGAAGGAAGGAAGGAAGGAAGGAAGGAAGGAAGGAAGGAAGGCTAATGGAATGAATAACAAAATAAATGGGTCGTAAATAAATGGAATGATTTATTTATTTAGATGGGAGGAGGAAAGAAACAGAAAATGTGAACCATCAGCTTCAGCTGTCCAACTTCATGCCCATAGCAGGCTCTTGCTTTAACCCTTGAACACTGGATAGCGAGAACTACATCTACAATCTCTATTCATTTTTTATTTTTATTTTTTTCATTCTTCCGACTACATGGGCTTGTTTTTTCTCCTTTTTTTTTTTTTTTTTTTTTTGGTAGAGACAGAGTCTCGCTATGTTGCCCAAGCTGGTCTTGAGCTCTTGGCTTCGAGCAATTCTCCCGCCTCAGCCTCCCAAAGTGCTGAGATTATAGGCAGGAGCCATTGTGCTTGACTCTCTCTTCAAAGCAGTGGGTTTAACTTGTTTTGAATTTAAAAACTCTTTTGAAAATCTGAAAAAAAGAGATGTTTCTCTCTACCTAGAACAAGATGCATAATTCAGCACAGAGGGACCCGTGGACTCCTGCTTTTGACTGACTTGGCCAGGAACAATGTGGGGAGGGAGAGAGGCTGAAAACATGGGGAGGTGCCAATTCCTAGGTCTAGAAAAGTACAAGTTATGTGTTAGAAAATGCATTCTGCACCAAGACCTTTCTCTGCTTGTCAAATATTTGCCCAACCTGACATCCTAGCTCTGGGTTTTAGCAAAAATGGCTCAGCTATTTACACACTGATCTCTGTTAAGGTGGTTTTAATAAATGATTAACCAAGATGCTGAGACTGACCTCCTTTCCCAGCTTGGGTTTCATCAAGGTGTTTAAATTGGATACCAGTCAAGTTTGGAAGATGGGCCTCTATGTTTGGTTGAGGGAGTGAAAAGTGACTTAAGTAGGATTGGCCCTGGGCAAAACTGGAAGAAAATAAAATTTATCTCAGGGGCTCCAACTACTCTTTCTGCACCTGCTTCCATCTTTCAATATCCTCCCACCCCGCCCCCTGCCTCCAGGAGTACAATGTTCTCACTGGGATCTGTTTTATCAAAGTAAAACATTTCTTCTGAGGGCTTCAGTACTGAATGGACACTGGCAACTGACAGGCACTCAGAATATATTTGTAAATGCATGGACCTTCTGTCACTCCCTGCACACACAGTCTATCATAGGCTATCATCAGAGTCTCCCTGCATTTTCCCAGTCTCTCACTGACCCTGTATTCTGGAAGAGTCAAGTCTCAAAGAAATATGACTCTCTTTGTACCCCAAGATGGTGAAGTTGTCAACAAGTTGACCATGTTCCTCATAGTAAAAACTCACTGGCCAGGTGAGGTGGCTCACGCCTGTAATCCCAACACTTTGGGAGGCCAAGGCAGGTGGATCATCTGAGGTCAGGAGCTCAAGACCAGACTGGCCAAGATGGTGAAACCCCGTCTCTACTAAAAATGGAAAAAATTAGCCGGCCGTGGTGGTGGGCGCCTGTAATCCTAGTTACTCAGGAGGCTGAGGCAGGAGAATCACTTGAACCGGGAAGGCAGAGGTTGCAGTGAGCTGAGATCGTGCCATTGCACTCCAGCCTGGGCAACAAGAGGGAAACTCCATTTCAGGAAAAAAAAAAAAAAAAAAAGAAAGAAAAAAGAAAAAATTCACTTATCAGTCAATGGGGCACACTGAGAAATCAGTGGCAGAAGGAAAATAGATTCCAAGAATTCAGACTCCCAACCTAATGCTTTTATAACATCACTCTGGATAAAAATCAGCTTACATAGAGTTGATCAAAACACTCCTATGCAGTTTTACTAGAACCACCTTGCCATTCAAACCCTTGCCCAACTGCTGGACCAGTAAAGGGAGCCAGAGATTTAGACTAACAAAGGTTGCTGTTGATAGAAGCAGAGTGGGGAAGAGGAATAAAAAATGCAAATGGAAAAACAGGGATCTAGACTTACAGATAAAAACTTCCCCCAAGACCTAAAGATGTCTGTTTTGGTTGAAAACTGCACTCATTTGGCAAGATCTGTGTAGGTAAATATGACTTTTGTTTTAGGAATAGTGTAGAAACAAGCAATTCACAAGGTCAGTGACTGGTCTTGGCTGAGCAAACACATACTTCAACACCTGTGTGAAGTTTGGCATGTCTTTGTAGGGACAGGTGGGTCTGTTTGAAAGAGGGCCGCGTGCTGGGTTTACATTTAAACTGTGTAAAAAAGGAAAAGTAGAATAGTTGTGAGTGTTTCCAGGGGAGAAGATGGGACTGTTTCTCTCTCCCTTCTTGTTTGTTTCAGAACCTGTCTTGGAGATTGGCCCTCATACCAATGTCTGGACTGCCTGAGCAGAAAGTCATCCGCTGGCACTGCCCATCTCACACCAGAGCCTCGATATCCCCTGGAACTGCCTCAGATGACCACGTCCTATTTTTCAAATTGGAATGCTTTAGGAAGCTATCCTCAAACTGTAAAAACAGGCTGCTTCCAGCTGTCCCCTTACTTTCCCTCAGAGCAGTGGTTTGCAAATTGTGTTCTGAGGAACCCTAGATTTCCCAAAATGCCTGATTGGACTTCAACGAATGCGCTCAGGCTGATACAAGATTGTAATTTGCATCTTCAGATCTTGTTATCAAAATGTTTTTGTTCCTCAATATAGGCTCATGAAATTAACTTTGATAATAATTGTTATATGTTAACATGTATAAAATTATACATTTTAACTCTACTGTATCTACTGTTTATATTATAATCTTTTTTTTTTTTTTTTTTTTTGAGACTGAGTCTTGCTCTGTCACCCAGGCTGGAGTGCAGTGGTGTGATCTCAGCTCACTGCAACCTCCACCTCCCGGGTTCAAGTGATTCTCCAGCCTCAGCCTTCCGAGTAGCTGGAATTACAAGCACATGCCCCCACGCCCAGCTAATTTTTGTGTTTTTAGTAGAGATGGGGTTTTGACATGTTGGCCAGGCTAGTCTTGAACTCCTGACCTCAAGTGATTCCCCTGCCTTGGCCTCCCAAACTGCTGGGATTACAGGTGAGAGCCACCACCCCTGGACTATATTATAATCTTATACAATGTTTCACTTAAAATTTCACCACTGGCCAGGTGCAGTGGCTCACACCTATAATCCTAGCACTTTGGGAGGCCGAGGTGGGCAGATCACCTGAGGTTGGGAGTTCGAGACCAGCCTGGTCAACATGGTGAAACCCCATCTCTACTAAAAATACAAAATTAGCCAGGCATAGTGGCACATGCCTGTAATCACAGCTACTCGGGAGGCTGAGGCAGGAAAATTGCTTGAACCCAGGAGGCGGAGGTTGTGGTGAGCTGAGATCATGCCATTGCATTCCAGCCTGGGCAACAAGAGTGAAACTCCATCTCAAAAATAAATAAATAAATAAATATATATATAAATATAAATAAAAATTCACCACTTAAAAAATGACTGGACCGGGCACAGTGTCTCATGTCTGTAATCCCAGCCCTTTGGAAGACTGAGGCAGGAGGATCACTTTGAGGCCTGGAGTTCGAGACCAGCCTGGGCAACACAGTGAGACCCTGTTTCTACAACAGCAACAGAAAGATTGCAACCCTTTCCTTAGCTTTCCTAACCCCTCTAGCTCTGAGCTGCTTTTTCCTTTTGACATGACACCATGGCACTTTTTACCATCCCACATACTATATAATGTATTATATATGTGTCGTCTGTTTCTTTTTGTTTATTGTCTCTCTTCCCCACATCCCCGAATGTAAACCCCATAAAAACAGGGACCTCTGTCTGTTTTGTTCTGATGTAGCCCAAGTACGTAGAATAGGGCCTGGCAGACAGGAGAGGCTCAATATTTATTGAATGATCCATTTTTATTTCATTTTTTTAGAGACAGGGTCTCACTCTGTCGCCCATGCTATAGAGCGGTGGTGCGATCATGGCTCACTGAAGCCTCAACCTCCCAGGCCCAGTTGATCTTCCCGGTTCGACCTCCCAAAGTGCTGGGATTATAGGCTCACAGCTTGAGAGGCTGAGGCAGGAGGATCACTTAAGCCCAGGAGTTCAAGACCAGCCTGGGCAACTAGCAAGACCCCTGTCTCTATAAAAATAAAAATAAAAAATGAGTTGGGTGTGGTGGGGCACGCCTGTAGTCTTAGCTACTCAGGAGACTGAGGCAGGAGGATTGCTTGGGATGGGGAGTTTGAGGCTGCAGTGAGCCATGATTGTACCACAGTACTCCAGCCTGGGTGATAAAGTGAGACCCTATCTCAAAAAAAAAAAAAAAAAAAAGACAGAGTGATTAATGGATATATGGATTGGCAAGGGTATTCCAGGATCCAGAAAGGAAGGGTTTAAGAATCATCATCCTCAGCTCGACCAGAAGGATGGCTCTATTCCCTGGTTTCTCCTTGTATGTTTTGGTGGTACCCTCTATCCCCAAACTCCTCCCACCCTCAGAAACATCACCTGAGTATTTGTCAGGGTCACACTGGTGGCAAGAAGTTTCTCCTTTATTTGAATAAGAGTTGGCTGGACAAAGTTTGCAGAAAGAGGAGCCCTTCTTGGCTGCATACGTGCCGGGTTTGCAGGGGAAGCATTCTGAAGTGTAGGCCACCCCTAGGGAGGAGGAAGAGTCAGAAAAGCAAGGATTCAGCCTGGAGACTGAGTCCCCAGGAGACTGCAAAATCAAGAACCCAGGGAGTCAGTAACCCCGGTCTCAGTACCTGTTATGGCGATGTTTCTCACCAGCACAGGCTTGGATACTCTGGACCATACTGAGAAGGCTGTGGTTCTCCAATAGAGGACATTATTGCCTCGATTTAGCTCCACCTAAAAACCACAAACAGGAGCATTCATTCATCACAGAGAGAAATCTCGCTAATCTGTTGGTATAGCCTCTTGTTGGGACGACTCCTCTTACTAACTGCATGGTAATGCTTCTTCTGACCCTCTTCCTCCTCGTCCTCAGCTCTGCCCTTCCTCCCAACTTAGCACAGCTCCTCTCTCTTTCTAAGCCTCCTCTTACAACCCTTCCGCTGCTCCCTGGATCACATATACCACGAGCATCTCTTATGGTGAAACCAGTAAAGAGACCTGAGGATCCTGACAATAGGGTGACTGGAACTCCCTCATTCTTCTGTGGTTTTGCAGGAGACAGCCCCCCCCCCCCAGAAGGCCCAGTCTTAAAGCTGGAAAGCTGCTGGTCTTTGGAGTCAAGCCATAGAAGCGACAAGTCAGCTCCCACCCATATTCTGTCAATGCTAGAGGACAGCAACTACAGCATCTTCATCATATCACACTCCTGCCCTCCAGGGACATCAGCGTGGAGGCTCAGACTGGGAGGAAGCACTCTCTGAGGAAGGCCCCTGGGTCCCTTTTCTGGGATTTCTGGGAGAAGGCTGGTGTGATACTCACACTGTGGAATTCCCATCCTTTCTCTGTGGTCTTCATCCACCTGGAGTCATCTGCATTGGGCTGGCACTGGTCATTCTGAACCTGACATAAAAGAGTTTGGAACCAGAGTCTCAGCTTTCTAAGGAAATGGATATCTTTCCCCACATTGCACCAGTCCTCCAGAGGGCCCTTCTTTATATGGGAAGAGTTGCCAATTTCCTTTAGGGACTGAACTCAAAACACATGAGCCTCAAAGTAGGGCAGGAATTAGTCACACACACAAAATGAGCATTGACACCAAAGAAATAACTTGTAAGTCAAATGTGCTGTGTTCATGTCTGAGCCGGATAAAACACTTAGAAATCTCCCAGACAGCTCTTCCCCCAAGAGTCCTTTCACTTTTGCCTTTTCTCCTTGCCTCCTGGGGCCTCAGCTGATTTTGCCCACAGCTCTCTCCAGAGGGAAAACAACAGTGATTTCCCAAGCAGGGCTACACTCACGGTGGATTCCTCAAATGGATCTGAGCCCCAGAGAGACTTTAGCTCCCACCCTCCACCTTGGCCAGGGGCTTACAAAAAACTCAAAGATGATGCTGGAGTCTGGGTAGTAGTATTCGAAGTTAACAGTGCCGGATTGCTTCAGGTTGACGGCGTACATCAGTGTGGCTGTGCATTCGTCCGTGTTGGAGGCGATGTAGTCGCCCTGGGGAACCCACTTGGACCTGTGAAGGAACAGGAACCAGGTTTACAGGCAGGAGCACAGCCCACCAGGCTTTGTGCCATGTGCAGGTCTCATGTTCTGCTGGGTCTTTGGGAATCTTCAGGCTTGTGATTCACAAACTGAAACTCGGACCTGAAAATGCTCAGTGAAGAAAGACAAAAGAAGCTCTCAGGTAGGTTAAGGACCTGGAGCGCAGCTAAGAAGAGGAAGGCAGACAGGTGAGGAAGACAAGCAGGCTTGCCTCCACATTGTGCAGAACTACCTGGGATATGGGTGGCAGGTGAAGTTGGGGAGGGATAACTTTTTTTTTTTTTTTTTGAGGCAGAGTCTTGCTCTGTCTCCCAGGCTGGAGTGCAGTGGCGTGGCCTCAGCTCTCCACAACCTCTGCCTCCCGGGTTCAAGTGATTCTCCTGCCTCAGCCTCTCGAGTAGCTAGGATTACTGGCATGCACCACCACACCCGGCTAATTTCTGTATTTTTTTTTAGTAGAGACAGGTTTTCACCATGTTGGCCAGCCTGGTCTCGAACTCTTGACCTCAAGTGATCCACCCACCTCGGCCTCCCAAAGGGCTGGGATTATGGGCGTGAGCCACTGCACCCACTCAGGGAGGGGTGACATTTATTGGTTGCTTACTACCTCCAGGCATTGCACTACGTGCTTTATATTCGTGATTTCTTTTCATCAATAAGAGGAATTGTTTTTCCTGTTTAAGAGACAATGAAACTGGGGCTTGGAGAGTGCCAAGCCCAATATTATGAAGCCAGCGAGTGGCAGGGCTGAGATCCAGTCTGCCAAACTCTAAAGCTGTCAAATAACTCAGTAGACACAGACATTCTTCAGAACTTAGACATCCACCCAGTCTAGTCCACCTGTTTTTCTAGAAATGTCTGCTATAAAGATGCCACATGTAAATGGTTTTTATGGAAAGGGGGAGGGCCAGAGAACCCCGGAGACAGCCGACCTGGTCATGTCTATTTTGTCTCCTAAATACGTGTTCACTCTATCCACCCTGTGCTCTCCCTGTGCTCACCACCACACCATCTACAAACTAGCCCCCAAACTTGTCTCCCTGAAGCCAGTCCCGCATCCTCCTAGCCCTCTCCATGCTGCAGCCCAGCAGACAGATCCTCCGGATAGACATCTGACCATGGCACTCCCTTGCTTCAAATTAAAACCCCTGGGACTGACTCTCTGTGGCCCTTAGGATAGGGTACAGATTCCTGATGCACTCTTTATACTCCAACTCTATGACATTTCTTTCAATTCCTCTGCCAAACTTTCTCTTACCTCTGGGCCTCCTGACATCCTCTTCCCTCTTCCTGGAACAAACTTCCTCCTCTCTCTCGGTTTAACTCCTACACTGTCTTAAATGCCACTTAATCTAAAAAGTCTTCCTTGATTCTATCTGCTTCTGCTATGGGTGCCCTTAGTTCTCTTTGCTCCCCTTCTCATAGCCATAATCCCATGATATTTTATTTATTTTTAGTATATTATGAAATATTTAAGACCTATACAACAGTATAATGAACATTCACCGACCCACCACCCTGCTTAAGAAATTCAACACAGCAGAAGCCTCTGTGTACCCTCCGCTAACCTCATCTGAGCCTTTTCCTGGAACACACTGCCTTCCCCATGGCCAAGTGACCACTTTCCTGAATCTGGTGTTTAACATGCGCACGCGGTTTTCTACAGGTATGTATCTCTAAACAATATACTGTACAGTAGTGCTTCGCATGTTTTAAAGCTTCACATAAATGGTATTATATTTACAGGCTCTGAAACTCACTTTGGGAAGGGAGGGACTTCAATATACTAACTGTGAGATTCATCCATATTCACACATCCAGCTCTTCTGGCTTCGTCTTTACTACTGCATAACATTCCTTTGCATGACTCTACCATATTTATTTGTGCATCACTCATTGATGGACATTTGGATTGTTTGCAGTTTCGTGTGCACATTCTGCTGTGTTCCTGTCTCCTTAGGCACATGTCTGAGTAGAATGCCTGGGAGGAGAACTGTATGTGAGCCTCCCATTTACCAATGACTGCTGCACTGTTCCTGTTGCTCCACATCCTCTCCAAATTTGAAACTGTCAGACCTTAAAATTGTTGCCAATATTATGTGAGGGAAGAGATCAAATTTACCTTGCTCACTAAAGTATTCCCAGTACCAGTCTGGGCCTGGCACATAATGGGGACTTGCGGGGTTAAAGAGTTGAACGTGGAAACAGGTAATCAAACACCATCACATTATTGCACTGTTTTGCCTGAGACCAGGCCAGGTTTCCAGTTGCTTGGTAATGGTCAGTTGGGTGGGCATGGTGGCTCACGCCTGTAATCCCAACACTTTGGGAGGCTGAGGCAGGGATCACCTGAGGTCAGGGGTTCGAGACCATGGAGACCAGCCTGACCAATATGGTAAAACCCCATCTCTACTAAAAATGCAAAAATTAGCTGGGTGTGGTGGCGCATGCCTGTAATCCCAGCTACTCAGGAGGCTGAGGCAGGAGAATTGCTTGAACCCGGAAGGCGGAGGCTGCAGTGCGCTGAGTGCCATTGCACTCCAGTCTGGGTGATAAAGCGAGACACCATCTCAAAATAATAATAATAATAATAATAATAATAATAATAATAGCCAGTTAAAGGAACCTCAGATTAGTCCACAGATTTCCCCCCTGTGTTTGCCAGGACAACATGGTTATTTTCAGCTCTTTGACAGTCAGTGTTATTCTCAAAACGAAAACATATAACATGAGCTTATCCAAAATATTCCAGCTAACTTAATAGCATTGATTTCTCCTTGTGGAAAGAGATAACCTTTAATGCTCATGTGCTCAACGACGTCAGCTATAAATAACTCTTGAAGTTTGATGAATAATTAAAAAGATGCCATAAGTGGGTTACATTTGCAAAGTGCATCACAATTCTGATTTTTGTCAGAGTTGCCCCTGGTGAAGACATTTCATATTCAATAATAAGAACATGTTTTGATTGATTTCTAGTGTCAGGCATCGCTCTAAATTCTTTACAAGTATCATCTCATCGATCCTTACCTCAATCTATTAGAGTACTATTTTTATCATCATTTGTAGAATGAAGAAACTGAAACCCAGAAGTGCTTAGGAAACTTACCCTAGGTCATCCAGTTGTGATCTGCATATAATGTTTTTCATTTTTAATGTTTACATTTCTCTCTCATTCTTGTTTCACTGTCACAGTCTTTGAGCGTCTGCTCAATCTTTCCCACTAATATATGACATTCTTTCTACTGCTCCCACGTCACTCCTGTTCCCTTAGCTTATGCTAGTCTCTGATCTCAGACTGTTGCCAGTACCTTAGCCCTGGAACATCAACCCACGACCCATGGAGGATCCCTGAAGGCTCAGGATCCTGCCATGGAGACTCCATTCAGCTGGTCTGTTTTGTCCCCAATTATTTATTTTGTCTATTTTGGGCCAGACACTATGTTAGATGCTGGAGACACAGTGATGAACAAGACAAGTATGATCCTTTCCCGCTTGGGGCTTGCATTCGCTTTCTAGTTGAGGAGACAGCAGCTTAACTAATCACACAGTCACATAGGAATGACGGTGATAAGTGCCATTGGAGAAATGCAGGATGATACAAGAGCGTGTAACAGGAGTCTATGGGGTCAGGGATGGTTTCTTTGAGGAAATGATTTTTAGGTAGAGACGTGAGGGTTAAGTAGGAGTCACAGAAGAGGGGACAGAGAGTCCCATGTTTAAATGCCCTGAAGGTAAGGAGTGCGATGGTCAGTGTGGCTGGAACACAGCAAGCGAAGACAGAAGGTACTTGGGAGAGGCTGGGGAAACGGGCAGAGGGCAGGGCAGCAGGGCCCTGCAGGCTGTGGGAAGGTAGTGGACATTGTCCCAAAAGCAATTGGTAGCCATTGAATCTAGGGTTTTTAGCAGGAAATTATTGTGACCGGATTTAAGGAGATGAGGCTGGGTGTAGTGGCTCACACCTGTAATCCCAGTACTTTGGGAGGCTGAGGTGGAAGGATCATTTGAGCCCAGGAGTTTGAGTCCAACCTAGGCAACGTACTGAGACCCCGTCTCTAGAAAAAATAAGAAGTTCGCCAGGTGTGGTGGCGTGTGCCTGCAGTCCCAGCTGTGTGGGAGGTTGAGGTGGGAGGAAGGTTTCAGCCCGGGGAGGTTGAGGCTGCAGTGAGCTGTGATTGGGCCATTGCACTCCAGCCTGGGTGACAGAGTGAGACTTTGTTTCTAAAAAAAAAAAAAAGAAAGAAAGAAACAAAAGAAAAGAAAAAAAGAAAGATGAATCTGGCTCTTGCTGAGTGGACAGGCCTGGAGGAGGCTGGGAATGGAAGCAGGAGACCAGCTTGGAGTCTCCTGAGGCAGAGCAGGCAGGATTTGGGTAGTTGCACAGCTCAATAGGAAAGCCAAATACTTGCGCTCTAGGTATCAGCTCAATTATTGCCTTTCTGAGGGATGACGGGAAAACCACAAAAACCTCTCCAGATGGCCATTTCCTCTCCATTGAGGGAGAAATATCCTCTTCCTCCCTCCCAGGGATGTCGTGAGATGCCTTAAGACGCAGGCCCTGAAATAGTCCGTGCCGTGGAAACACAAGTTGTTATTAACCCGCCCACATCCTGGCTCGCTGAGAGATAATGATTTCTGGACTCTCGGTGCAGTCCCCAGAGCGAGAATACATCCTTCCTTTACATGGCTAGGAACTGACTGAGCCAGGTCTGCACCTTGTCCAGGGCCTAATGACAGTCTCCATTAGGACTCAAATGGGGGTTGGTTGTTTTAACCCGCACATTCCTGCTCCTTCCAGCTTTAAAGCTCTCTAGCTTTATCTCTGCCTCCAGTGTTGTCATGCTAATGAATTTGACACTTCAAATTGAACTCTAAAATAACATAACATTAAAATCGGACTACAGATTAAATAGCCACTGCTTAGCTTAGACAAGATTTAAGTATAGGAATGGGAGACATTGCTCCCAGTTTTTAGAAATCCAAGTGTAATACAATTCTTGAGTCCTTTTCATCCGTTTGATTGTTTGGGTATAAATGAAACTTTCATTTACTTTCCTCCTGTATTCACTGTCAATATTTAATAAGGAACAATATGACTGCCTTTCACATCCCCATATCGCCCCTATTTTCGCTCCCTAAGACCCAATATTGCCTTGCCCGTAATAAATGTTATTTGAATGTGGCATTATGGAGCAGTGGAAGCTTGGGTTTGAATTTCAGTCTCGACAGCTGTAAGCCAGATAACAAAGGGCAGGTCATAACCTTGCTGAGCTTCCAGTTCCTCGTCTCTGTAATAGAAATAGTAATGCCTATTTCACAGGGTTCTTGTGAGAATTAGAGAAAATAATATACGTAAAGCATCCAGAATAGTGCCTGGCCTACAAAATACATATCTGAAATAGATATCCAGTTCTCCAAGCACCCTGGACTGAGCTTTCCAAGAAAATTTTCTAGTTACTGGGGTCTCACAGCGTTTGGAAGATTTCAGCCAGCACTGAGCAAAGGCTAGACAGAATCAGTTTTAGCAGTTAGCACCCAAAATGGCTCATGCCTGGAATCCCAGCACTTTGGGAGGCTGAAGGGGGTGGATCACCTGAGGTCAGGAGTTTGAGACCAGCCTGGCCAACATGGTGAAACCCCATCTCTACTAAAAAAATACAAAAAAATTAGCTGGGCATTATGGCACACACCTGTAATCCCAGCTACTCAGGAAGCTGAGGCAGGAGAATTGCTTGAACCTGGGAGCTGAGGGTTGCAGTGAGCTGAGATGGCACCACGGCACTCTAGCCTGGGTGACAGAGTGAGATTCTGTCTCAAAAAAAAAAAAAAAAAAAGTTAGCACCCAAGCCGGGAAAATACCCAAGCTTTGCATATTGTGTTCCAGTTAAGCTGAGAAAGTATATTGGCTGATCCAAAATTCTGTGGTGGAAATCCAGTTGTGTTTTTTTGGTTTTCGTTTTTCTTTTCCTTTTTTTTTTTTTTTTTTTTTTTTTTTTTAAGACGGAGTTTTGCTCTTGTTACCCAGGCTGGAATGCAATGGTGCGATCTCCACTCACTGTAACCTCTGCCTCCCAGTTCAAGCGATTCTCATGCCTCAGCCTCACGAGTCACTGGGATTACAGGCACCTGCACCATGCCAGGCTAATTTTTTGTATTTTTAGTAGAGACGGGGTTTCACCATGGCCAGGCTGGTCTTGAACTCCTGACCTCAGGTGATCGATCCACCCGCCTTGGCCTCCCAGAGTGCTGGGATTACAGGCATGAGCCACCGCACCTGGCCGGTTTTTGTTTTTAATTGCGACAGGGTCTTGCTCTGTTATCCAGGGGTATGGTGGTGTGGTCATAGCTCACTCTAACCTTGAATTTCTGGGCTCAAGTCATCCTCTTGCCTCAGCCTCTTGAGTAGCTGGGACTACAGACATGCACCACCACACCTGGCAAATTTTTTAACTTTTTGTAGAGATGGGGTCTCGCTATGTTTCCCAGGCTGGTCTCAAACTCTTGGTCTCAGGCAATCCTCCCACATCAGCCTGTCAAAGTACTGGGATTACAGGGGCGCGTCACTGTGCCCAGCTCCAGTTGGGTTTGTTTTAAATAGACTGGGCCATTTAACCCTTGTCCCCTTGTCCACTCTCTTATTTTCCCATGTTTTTTACCTCCCACAAATGCCTGTCCATCACTGGTAAGTTTAGGCCAGTAAGAGTGGGCCAGGTAGAGTCACATCCACCGGTCCTGTGGGCATGGCTACAGGCCTCACCCTGGCAGCCTGGCTTCCTCTTCCCTCCATCCTCCCTGCCTAGCCTGAGGGGCCATGGAGGAGGCTGCCCAGTGTGCCCTGCAGCTCCTTCCCCAGTGGGCTGGGGATGGGGTGGGTGTGTGTGCAAACTCACGAAGTGCAGTTCCCGGTGGACTCAGCGGCACTGTCATCCAGCTCCATGTTGGCTGAGAGGCTGGCAAAGCCATGGGGCAGCTCATCCCACTCATCAAACCGAATGCCTGTGCCGAGGGAGTAGCGGCCCTCAGCGCATGGCTTACACGACTGGTCCTTCATATCCAGAAACTCCCCGGCGTTGCAAGAGAAAGCTGGAAAACGGCAGAGACAAGGCGGGGCAGTGAGGTCACGGCAGCCCCAGAAGTGCGTGGGCTGTGAGCAACTGAAGGGAGGAGTGATGGGTTGGGATCTAGGAGTTTGGCCCACTAAGGTTTAGGGCCATGGCATTTACTGTGTGATTTTATTTTATTTTTCTTAAAACAAAATTTTTTTTTCAGCGGTGATATTCCTTGCTATGTGTGATTCTATTTGTATGAAATGGCCAAAAGAGGCAAAGCCATGGAGACAGAAAGTAGATTTGTGGTTGCCAGGGGCTGCAGGGAGGGGCCTGGGGAGAGATTGCTAATAGTATGAGGTTTCTTTGTAGGATGATTAAAATGTGAAATAAGAGTGATGATGGTTGCTGTGAATATTCCAAAAACCACTGAATTTTATCCTTAAAGGAATGAATTTCACGGCATATAAATTATATACCAATAAAGCTGTTATTAAAAAAAAAAAAATAGATCTAGGGCCATGGATACTCTGCCTTGCTGTGGGACTTTGGGCTTGTCCCTGGCACTCATTTCCTTTGGAGAGGTGCCCTGACCATTCTGAGAGCTCTGTGGTGAAGAGGATGCCAAGGTCTCTTGTGCTGACCCCTCTGAATGACATATGGCTCTTCAGCCTTGAATTTCTCCCTTGAGCCTCTGGCCTCTGCCTTTCTGGTTGTACTGTCACCATGCTAGGTGGGAGTCTCATGACCTGTTAACTCAATCATTGCAATATCCTCCTAAATAGTTCCCTATTCTTATTTTTGCTCATTCTGTGGTCAGAGGTACCTTTTTAAAACACTGATATGATCAGGCCCGATGGTTCATGCCTGTAAACCCAACATTTTGAGAGACCAAGGCAGGAGGATCACTTGAGCCCAGGAGTTTGAGGCCAACCTGGGCAACACAGTGAGACCCTGTCACTACAAAAAAAAAAAAAAATGTTTAAAGTAGCTGGGAGTGGTGGCTTGTGCCTGTAATCCTAGCTACTCAATCGGCTGAGGTGGGAAAATTGCTTAAGTTCAGGAGGTCAAGGCTACACAGAGCTACGATTGCATCACTGTACTTCAGCCTAGGAAACAGAGTGAGACCTTGTCTTTAAAAAAATAAAATGTAAAACACATATATACTATTACTCTCCTTATTTAAAAAAATAAACAGGCACTCCCTTTTGGTTCTAGAAGTATGCTCTTGGCCTGGCACTCAGTTTTCCACGGTTTCCCTCCAGCTTAACTTCCCAGCTTGACCTCCCACTACAAATCTTTCTCCACCTCAACCCCATCCATCACCTTCTCTGTGTTGCCTCTACCCTGGACCACAAGCTCTTCCTCAAATGTGTCACTCTTCATACACATCTAAGCTTTTGCCCTCCCAGCTATGCCCTCCCAGCTATGCCTGATCCCTAAATATTTGTAACTCTCATTCTTTCTCATATCATATATGAGAAACTACACTAGGCTCTGCACTCCTCCGGGGATGGCTGGCTCAGTGACTGGCACAGACTGGGAGCTTCATGAATGTTTCTGAAACAATGAGTGAATGAATGAATGTCTGCACTTTCCACCACCTAAGCTTCTGAAAGCAGAGACTGGGCCTTATTTGTCTTTGCAGTTCACACTGCATGTGCACATCATGGTGCTTACACATAGTGGGATTCACTGAAGTCGGCAGAGTTCAGCAGAGTTCAGTGAAGATGGCTCATTTGTTTCCACTAGTCACATCTCAGTTCTGCTCAGGTCTCAGCAATATCCAGTCATTAATTTAACAAGTATTTATTTGCTCACTTACTCAACCAGGCACTGTACTAAGCTGATTTGAGAATTTAAATATCTTCAAACTCCTTTCCAACTCTTCACATAATTCCTTAAATCTAGTGCCTGGTTTTTCTTGTTATTCCCTTTGCATTCCTAAAATAATAATGCAGGGGAAAAAGCTGCCAATTGTAGAAAAGTTGTGACTGCAGAATCACAGAGGCAGGCGCTGGGGCTGCAGCAAGCCACTGCCTTTCCTATTGCACAATCAGATCCACAGTCAGGAAGATTCTTGTCCCCTGAAGTGATGCCTGGAGCATTTTAAAGGATGTCTCTGCAGAAATTTAACCTCTCTGACTTCCTTTTTAAGAATGACAGCAAATCTCAATCTTTCCTAATGACTGATTGTAGCTGATGAGTGAGTGTAGATTGGAGAGACATACACAGGCAAAATGAAAATGTATGCAAACAGAAAAGAATATCTGAGTGCACACAGCTGGCGTTGCTTATGCTGTATCCACTGATGGGATTTAAATTCCTTTAAAAAATGAAAGCAAATTCAGATATCCAGTTTGCATTCATGAAATACTTCTGCACCAAATCTCATAAGGGTCTGGGATGTGGGGACTAATTGGGGAAAAGATCTGATTCCTTAATGCAGCTGCTCTGCCAGGAAGGGCCCAGATTGGATGGCAGGAGACTTGGGGGAGAGACCAAAGCTGAGTGACAGGGAGGCCCTGAGCAGGACAGCTGCTTACAGCACTCGGTGCCCTTGACGGGGTCGGGCAGGCTGGTGCACAGGCCCGGGGTATGCGGCACGGCGACCCTCCACCTGGAACCCGTGCTGTCACACGCGGTGTACTCATAGTGGTACTCAGACTGCAGGGGAGAGAACAGTGGGCAAAATGTGCATTAGCAGTGATCAAACATTAAGAGTTTCCCACCCACTTCCTGCCCAGCACATGGCTACTGATGCTCATCCTCTCAGAAATGGGCCCTGGGACCCCCGGCAGGGAGCTGATGATTATGAGCCGAGTAGAAGAACTACAATGATTTGGATCATTCCTTTCCACCCAGCCACGGTCTAGTCCCTAGAAATCATTTTTGTGTATGACTCTCTTTGTTGTTATGTTTAAGTAATATCCTTATGGAGCAGAGGAATGTGGGAAGGTAACTAAGGAACAAGCTAGAAATAGGTGGAGTTTTTCTTATTCTAAAGTGTAGCATTTATGAACGAGGACATTCTAAATGGAAGTATGTTCTAAATGGAAGCCTTAGTCCACAAAAAATTTACAAAGCCTCATCACAGAAGTGGTATGTATTTCTATTTCCCTGTGTTTCTTTTTTTTTTCCTTTTTCTTTTTTTTTTTTCTTTTTTTGAGACGGAGTCTCGCTCTGTTGCCCAGGCTGGAGGGCAGTGGCACCATCTTGGCTCACCGCAACCTCTGCCTTCCGGGTTCAAGCAATTCTTCTGCCTCAGCCTCCCAAGTAGCTGACACTACAGGCGCCCGCCACCACACCAGGCTAATTTTTATATTTTTAGTAGAGACGGCGCTTCACCATGTTAGCCATGCTGGTCTCAAACTCCTGACCTTGTGATCCTCCTACCTTGGCCTCCCAAAGTGCTGGAATTACAGGCATGAGCCACTGCACCTGGCCCTATTTCCCTGTGTTTCTTATGCTCCTTTCCACTCAGAAAGACTACGAATTCCCAATTGCATTTTATGAAAATATTATATTTGGCCGAGGCAGGTGATGTGCTCTCACTTGAGCCTATTCATCCCTGATTCGTCTGTGCAATGGGAAACTCAGAGTTTTTACCTGAGCTAAAAATAAATGGGATAAAAACAAAACAATCAAATCAAGCATTAAGTAAAACAACAACAACAAACAGTTCTACTCAGAACAAAGAAAACACAGTTGATGTGCCAAATGCCCTTAAGCATTTTTTCCTCCTTTAAATCTGGTAATAAACAACAGACCATGGAATTAGTGATGATTTTGGCTCTGACAAGTATTTTACAATCTGCACTTACCTAAAACTATATTCAAGCCCATAGGTACTTTGTATTACTGTATCCATAAGAAAAATAGAATTAATTTCCCCCTTAACCCACGTGAAAGCATGATTGCATAACATGTACAACGTCAAGGAGCTAAGACAAAAAAAACACAACAGTTTTGAAGTTTGTTAATCTGATAATGCGTCAGGACCAAAAGGAAAAAGCTTTATTTTTGGGGAGAGGTAAACACACTGCATGTCATCTATTCCAAGTTGCGTATTTTTTCCACATCTAACGTCTATGAAATCAAGACGTTTCTTAAAATTGACACAGTAAGGAAGCATTGTGTTATGTTTCAAGGGATAGAGCTTTTTCCTTCTTTGTGACACATTAAAAAAAATCGTGTCTTAGAAGCAGTGGTGTTTCAGACTTGCTGCAATATAATAAAGATGTAGTTTCTTTTCTTTCTTTTTTTTTTTTTTTTTTTTGAGACGGAGTCTCGCTCTGTGGCCCAGGCTGGAGTGCAGTGGCCGGATCTCAGCTCACTGCAAGCTCCGCCTCCCGGGTTTACGCCATTCTCCTGCCTCAGCCTCCCGAGTAGCTGGGACTACAGGCGCCCGCCACCTCGCCCAGCTAGTTTTTTGTATTTTTTAGTAAAGACGGGGTTTCACCATGTTAGCCAGGATGGTCTCGATCTCCTGACCTCATGATCCGCCCGTCTCGGCCTCCCAAAGTGCTGGGATTACAGGCTTGAGCGACCGCGCCCGGCCTCTTTCTTTTTTTTTTTTTTTTTTTTTTGAGACAGTCTCTTGCTCTGTCACTCAGGCTATAGTGCAGTGGCGTGATCACGGCCCACTGTAACCTTGACTTCCTGGGCTCAAGTGATCCTCCCACCTCAGCTTCCCAAGTAGCTGAGACTACAGGAACCACTATGTGCACCACCATGCCCAGCCAAGAGATTAACTTTTGACCAGAATCTTTGGCTTTGGATGTAGATGTCAATGTCATCTAGGAAAGAAAGAATATCAGCATGGGAATTCTTTGTGCCCTTGGGCTACCGTCTCTCTGGGTCTATTTTTCCTAATAATTCTTGTCTTTTCCTCATCTCAGAGGACTCTGAGGATAAATAGGGCAGCTATGCATATGTGATGTCAATCCACTTCTTAAAATGATACTCTCAAAAGGGTTTTGCTGCAAGAATGAGGGGTAAAGTCCACTGTGTATAAAGTAAATGGAGAATTGAGTGAGCAAGGCAGAAAGGACTGTGTGGTGCTCGTGAACATACTCATGCTGGTCTTTTGTGTAGTGTGTTCACAGTTCCCAAATACCATCTCGTCTGATCTGCACGACTCCCTACAAGGCAAGTAGACCAGGGGTTGTTTCCTTCATTGTACAGATGAGAAATTAGACTCTCAGTGGCGAGATAGCTTGTCCAAGGTCACACAGCCTATAAGTCACTGAGCTAGAAACCAGGCCTTCCCAGCAGGAATCCTCCACCCTTATAGACTCTGATCAAACACAGACTCACACAGGGCCAAATTTAACAGCCAAATCTAAAAATTAAACATGACAGTGTTGGTTGTCTGCCAGCAGCCAGGCTCGCTTCTGAGGCATGAGAATTGGTGTTAAAATATCTAATCTGTTCGAAGATCATCTCAGTTCATTCTGACTGCATTTGGCCTCTTGGAGGCACATGGGCCAAATCCGTTACTTTTCATCGTCTTTCATTTGATGTCCCCTGGGTGCCACTCAGGTGGGAGGTTTGCTGAGGAAATGGTGGTTTCAAGCCTAAGAAAATTTCCCTTTCTATATGTGCTCATTTACTTCATGCCACTTGGGGATATTTACATCATTCAAGGTGGTTGGCTCTAATACACCTGTTTCAAATCTGAACTACACTTTGAGGTCACACCATTCAAGACATAAGCTTAGGGCTGGGCACAGTGGCTCACACCTGTAATCCCAGCACTTTGGGAGGCCGAGGTGGGTGGATCACCTGAGGTCAGGAGTTTGATACCAGCCTGGCCAACATGGTGAAACTCTGCCTCTACTAAAAATACAAAAGTTAGTCAGGTGTGGTGGCACATGCCTGTAACCCCAGCTACTCAGGAGGCTGAGGAAAGAGAATCACTTGAACCCAGGAGTGGAGGCAGAGGTTGCAGTGAGCCAAGATCATGCCACTTCACTCCAGCCTGGGCAAAAAAAGTGAGACTCTGTCTAAAAAAAAACAAAAAGACATGAGCTTAGAGAGAGTTAAATCAGGGATAGAACTGGCAGGACTCCTCAATTACATTCAGTGTTCTGCGAACACATCAATTCCCTCACAGTACCTCAGTTTACTCAGTGATCTGTCTGAACGTATATAGTTTGCATAAAGTGCAGGTCTACAAAGGAGCACATAAACACATTCAGTATATACATCCAGCACGTAACTCCTTCTTCCTCCCTGTGCACAATTCTATGACGCACACCCAAATTACACTGCTAAATGGGACACAGCAGGCAGTGGGTGCTGTCTGTTCATCAGGAAAATAAAGGAAGGGTTTAGAAATGAGGGGGTGGGGACCTTTAGTTAGTGCATCCTTCCCTGGCACCACCCAGCCACGTAATACTCCTGGGCACAAGTGAAGGAAGAGGAAAAAAAACCCTGAAACTGGAATATGCTTTGCCTGTATTGACTGATCTGTCGGTAACACTGATCTCTCAGCTCTAGAAGAATTCACTCAGACTCACAATACTTTTAGTCCTTACTATCTAGGTATTGAATGGACTGCTGAAATGACTAAAAAATAAGAAAACTGTCGAGTCAGGATGGTACCTGGATGGAAATCTGTCCTTCCTTCTACCTTCCCACCACTCGCTTTCAAAATAGTATCTGTTACTTTTAAAAATGATTATCAAAGTAACAGTTTAGAGGCCAGGTGCAGTGGCTCACGCCTGTAATCCCGGCACTTTGGGAGGTTGAGGCAGGCAAATTACTTGAGGTCAGGAGTTTGAGACCAGCCTGGCCAACATGGTGAAACCCCATCTCTACTAAAAATACAAAAATTCATCGGGTGTGGTGGCATGTGCCTGTAGTCCCAGCTACTCAGGAGGCCAAGGTGGGAGGATGACCTGAGCCTGGGAGGTTGAGGCTGCAGTGAGCCATGATCATGCCACTACAGCCCAAATGACAGAGTGAGACCCTATTTCAAATGAAAAAAGGAACCGTTTAAAGACTAGAGATTGGAGGTAATCTATGGGTTAGATGCTAGAGCTGTACTTTGTTACCATCCACTGTGGAAGACGAATAAGGTTTAAACTGGTTAGCTGATGACAGAGATGTGGTCCACAATTCAGGTGGAAGGAGAGTCCTAGGCACTGGGTTAGCCTCTTTCATGTGCCCTAAGTAAATAGGCAAATGAGAAGTGATCCCACCACCCCTTCCCATGTGGCACTCGACCTCCCTAAGCTATAGCTGCCTCACTGAAAAATGGGGATACACAAACCTCTGCATCATACAGGGGCTGGGCTGCTGTATCGTTATGCAGGCTCTTCATAGGTTACCTAGCTCAGGGCATGAGTGGAGGGTGGATTCTAGCTCAGACCTTGCATGCTAGGTGGTATGCCCTATTGAAGGTTGCACCTGCCCAGAGAGGGAGTGCCTCTTCCCCATGTGCAGTAGGGCCCCCTGTGAGCACGATTAAGATGATGTAGGTCAAGCACATCACACAGTAGGTTTTCCAATCTTCAAAACAATCCAATGATAAATTATTTTACCATTTTACAGATGGGAAAATTGAGTCACTGAGAGGCGAAGTCACTTGCTCAAAGCCACACAGCCAGGAACTGCCAAACCAGGATTGCACCCAGGCTATCTGAGTCCAGAATCTGTTT